TATATATTCACATTTAAACCTAAAAGACAGCATTCAAATTTCTTACAACTTTTTTCTTGTCATAAAAGATAAAGATAGAAAGAGACGTGGTCTCCCACTCTCCACGTTTGAGTTGTTCTTTCAAATCTCTTACAGATTTTATCACTTGGTTACTAAATCAAAACAAATCCTTTGGGTATTTCTTTTTATTGTGTGCTGTTTGCTTTAGCTGATATAAAAGTGACGAGTGAATAAGAAAAGAAAAGAAAATGAACTCACCTCAACGTTTTGCAGCTCTCTGTGGATCTGCAGCATCTGCGCCTGCCGCCTCCTCTCCTCTCGCCTCTCTCCTCCTCTCGTCTCTTCTCCCGTCTCCTCCTGCCCGTCTCCTTCCCCTCTCTCTCCACCACTCAGGCGTCGGATGCGCTGGCCCACGTATACTCCAAGGTGCTCCGGGCTTCGTGGGGATGGGGAGCGAGGACGGGTTGGAGAGCTGGGCGGGAACAACGTTGGAGTGGGGAAGACGAAGGCTTGGCCCAGAGTTTGGGGGCTTGTCTGAACCAAAAAGACATTGAGAGTTAATGAATGTCAGTAATTTTGGCTCTATTAACAGAAGCAGTTATTTATGTTTCTTCTTGTGTAGTTATCAGCTGAAGTAGCAGGAAGCTGCTACCAAAGAAATGCCTGACAGTATGTTTTAATTATTAGGGGTCAAACAAACAAACAAAAGAAATAAGAAATTGAAGAAAGTGACTATTATTAAGAACAAACCAATAACAGAGTTAACCCTTTACTGCACAGTATGCAATACGAAAACATACCCTTTTTAAAGCAAATTCCTACTATTTAAAAAATATATATTTGAACCTTTTCACTGAAGGCGGGGGCACATGTATGAAATAACATTTAAACCTACAAAAATCTAACTTTCCCACACTGATTGTGATGATGAGTCGTGTGAAGAGCTTCTCAACACACACACAGACTTTTCTTATATTTGCATTACTGAAAAAAAATACTACAATAATATATGATAAGTTATGCTCTACTTATATCATGTGTTTTTATCTTTTTTATTATTCAGTAAATTGGGTATGTTGCTAAACGGCAACATTGTGCAGTTATGGAGCAATGTCAGTGTGTAGAACTAGTAAGTTTCTTTAATTCTTCAATGTCTGCACACAAAATACAGAAAGATAATAGATAAATGATGGATAGGACAGAAATCTATTCATAAATTGATTATCTGCCAATTCTTCCTAATTAAGTCAGGTAAATAAAAAATAAAAAATAATGTGAACAAGTAAACCATAATTGGCTTCTTCTTTTATGGCGCTCAGGACAGTCAAGTAAAAAAATGCCCCATCAACAGAGTAACACACGGATGACTTACCGGTAAGTTAAAGTTTTAGATTATTTCCAAGTGTCATGACAGCAATACTGAACTAAATGGTAAAACACAAGAACCTCTCATTTATAGAAGCAAAACAGGAGAAAAAAATCTCTAGATAAAGAGACAATCAAGCTCATCTTGAGAGGACAAAAAAACTCAATAAATGTTCTCAAAAAATCAGTCAAAACTGATACAGGCTCAGCCGTTCTCAACTTCTAGATCATCTTTTTCTTCAACTGAATTCAATTCTTCCAAATTTTTAGAAACATAATAATGTATTCAGGCAGTATGTAGAGATACTGAGTTTTGCTTCTACGACAAATTACATAACCTAATAATTACAACAATGTTTAAGTCCTATTTAATGATTTTTTTCTTGACAAGAGGCTAAGCAGTAATTGGAATAGAAAATATAGTTTCAACAAAAAGCTTGAAGTAGTAGGTAGTACAAGCAGGGGAACTACTGCATTAGAAAAGTTTAGTTTTGCCCACCTTGGGGCTTGTTGGACTGTAAAGACTTCCTCCGAGTAACGGACAGTAGGTGCTTCGATCTGGAACCGGCAGCACAGGTCGTCCGACTGAACTGGCTTTGGCTCGGGAGGTGGTGCTGGAAGAACCAGGCTGGGGGTGAAACTGATTACTGCTGCAGAGAAGAGAGCAAAAACTGGATGATTTGTCTGTCGTTGTGGCTCACCGTGTTACAACTGGTTGTAAATGTGTATTAAAAATGTGTTCAGATGTTGTGCATAACTTAAATAACGTGCCTAATTATACATGACAAGCAAAACTACTAACATTGAAGAATGTATTTTATTTGTCTCGTCCAGTTCTACAAATATCAGCTGTTATTCCACAAATACAACAATCTGGCAAAGCTCAAACAATTCATGATTAAAAGGGAAAAACAAGAAAAATCTTATATAACTGGCTCCCTTCTTTATCACATAATATTATGCTTATGCAAACTTTCTTCCAGAACAAAAACTCAAAAACAAAATTACCTATAAACATAAAATATTTAATTATAGTGTGCCATAAGTTTTAAAAATATCATGACTTATTTTCTTTATAAATTTATTAATTCAACATCTAGATCATTCCATAGTTTTACTTTATGTACCAAGACCCAAACCTGCTTGGGTTTAATTCTTAAAAATTAACTTTTAAATTAAATTTCCTCCAAGGAGCGTCATCACTGACTCTCAGTAGAGAACATCTAAAAACTATTTTGGCAGCAGTTATTGTTTTCGCTTTGTGCGTAACTACCATAATCAAGTTTTTAGGTTAGATAAATCTTTCAATTTCAGTCAATTTGACCTGTACAGTATATTAACATTTGACATTCAACTTATGGTCTTCTGCAGTTTTTGTGTAAAATAAGCTAAACTAAATACAAAACAGTACACAAACTCCAACGGTGTATGACAGTAATCGGATTAATACATTTTACAGTTGATGGTAAATAGCTGTTTAAAAAACACAATTAAAAAGTGTCTGTATGTGAAAGTAAACCCAAAACATGCTGAATGTTTTTGATGCATCAGCAATAAAGCTTATTGTCACCAGTCTGATCTAACAGCTTCTCACTAGAAAAAACCCTTTAAAAGTAAAAACAAAAGAGCAGTGCTGTACCTGTTCATGACTCCAAGGCCGTTCAGGTTTAAGGCAGAGGCTGCCATCCCCACGGCCAGGCCAGGGGTTTTAGGTGCTGGGTACACATCTGACAATGTCCCCTGAAGCTGCGGGGGGGTTCTGTCAAACAGCTCTCAGTGTTCCCTCCTGAGCAGCTCCACCATGCAACAAAGTTTGTAGCCACTGCTGGAAATCAACAAGAAAAAACCCAGAAGAGTTCACTTTATTATAACTCCTGTTTGCATCATGGGCTAAAGGGCGATCTCATTTTCTTATTAATAATAAATAAGAAGACAAAATTTATGATGTTAATTAAAAAAAAACAGAATTTAGCAATAAATAACAGACTAAGAAAAGGAAACAAAAGGATAAATAATAGATACATTTTGTTAATAATTTGCACTTTTTCCAGTCATATTCAGACACTTTTGTGATAATTAGAAACAGCTTCCTTCTTACAAAGCCTGCTATCTTATATTACTTTACTTTAAAAAAAAAACTTTTTAGGTTTCAATGAACACCCTTTTTTAGGGGAAATAGGAAGATGATTTTTTTAAAAGCCAGAATTAAGGATACAGAAAAACAAGCTGAGGTGGAAGGTCTGAGTAAGAGAAAATGGCAATAAATGAAAAGTTAAATGTAAAAAAAAACCCAAAAAACAGGAAAAACCTCATAAGCTCATCCAAGGAATATTTTGATGTAGATGTAGTTATATAAGAAGCTCAGCGCGATTGAGATAGCATTGTTTTGGCAGACGACAGATGATGACAACAGCTGAGTTTGACACTAAAAGTGGAATTAAAAATATGTTCCTTTGTCTGTTTTTCACAGGAAGCCTACAAACTTGTTCTTTTTCCCCTCTGCTCTTATGTAATTTAATAATATATATCATCTCAAAATAATATGATTAGCTGGTTTTACAGATACTCAGATTAAATTTGGTGTGGTAGTAACAGAGCATCATCTTCATTACATATCCAAGTGATTCACAATGCACAAGATTTTGGCTTAAAACTCAATCCAAACTCAAACCACTGGGAGGATTTTATTTTAATAACTCAGTGAATTTAATGCATATCAATCTCAAACTGGTGTGGTATTAGCTTAGAGTCATCCTCGGTACATCCTCTGAGAGGTAAAACATCTTCCATGAGATCACATCATTTACAAGGTTCAACTAAAACAGCTACAACTCCGTTTCTTCTCGACGTAAGACGGTTTTAGTGTAAAACATGAAAGACTGTGGGGGGATTCCTTAAAGAATGCTAAACTTTTATTATTTCACTTTTTTTCCCCCAGCATATACAGATTTTAACTAAATTATTTTCAGAAACCATTAAATGTTGTGCCTAAGCGGTTTCAGCGTTCTGGTCAGAAAACTGGGCTTTTTGACTCATGAATCAACAGAGATAAGAGGAAAGCTGCAGAAACGGATGCACAGCTTTAGTTTTATCGATCACTAAGGTCAAACACTGAGTAGTAGGTTGCGGTTTCATGTCTTGCTGGGAAATAAACTATGCAAATTGGCTTCACTGTGCAACACGGGCGGACGACTGCAGAGGAAAAGTGCCTCATGGGAAGTAACGTCGCACCTCTACACAGCACTCTTCAAAGATCGTTTCGATTAATTACACCGGGGAGCAGACTCACTGAAGCGTTAAAATATCTGTAACAAAATATCCACGAGTCATGATTTTGGACTTGTAGTTTGCTCTGAGGACATGCCATTCTTCCCGTGCAAAGCAGCCAACAAGCACAGGAAAACTGAAGCTAATTATTGCATTTCTTTTTCTTTGTTACTTCACCATAACCATTTATTAACACTACAGACATCAAGTCTGAACCGTTGATGCAAACATGGGATTTCCTTATTGGGGGACGATGCAGTTAGTGAGAAACAACAAAACTCGTGCCTCAAGTGGCTTCAAATTGTAAGAGCTGCTTTTTTTTAACTCTGTTTTGCTCTCCTTGTGTGATAATCCAGAAGGTTGTGGTGAAAATGATTTAAAGCCTTGTGTAACCCGAAAGACAGACACAGACTGGGTGACCAGAGAGGTGTGCTCATGATTTTGGATCAGTTATCTATTCGTAATCTTTCATGCAGAAGCAGCAGATTTATGTTCTGTCAACCAGAGTGTAATGAAGCAGCACCGGGCAACATTTTCACTTTCCCCTTTCAGAGATCCTCCCTTTACTGATCCATTCACCGCACATCTGATGATGCTTTAAGGAAAGAAACAGTCAAAGTCAGCGTCACGACACCAGACCAACAAAGAGAGTACTGTTTTTGTATGAAAGAGAAATATTTTAACTCAGAGCTAGTCTAAATGCAGGCATGCCCAACTCTAGACAGCTGCTTGCCTTTTAAATTGAATTATTTGTTCATAACATACTAATCTCATTCAAATCTAAGCAGCACATTGTACTGTTTTAGCAGAAATTAAATATTAAAAGTCAATAAATAGGGAGGCAGATGTTTTTTTTTCCAGATAGCTCAACCCATAAAGTCGTTAAACAGGTCAAACCTGCAAACGCCTCGTCTTTGAACCAGCTTTAGAGCTTCAGCTGATTTATCACGCCGAGCAGCAGGATCACGTCCAATTTCAAACTGTCCGCCTGCCCACACGAGTGGGCAGAGAAAAACCTCCACAGACAAATAAACAAAACAAAAATCGACTTACGAAGACGTTCAAAGAGGAGAACGGTGATTAATGTTCGGAGGAATGTTACGAGGAAACGGAATGATGGCTTTCCTTTCAGTTTGTGCTGAAAGGAAAGCCATGTCAACACTCGCCTGCTGTACATTCTCAAAGTTTATTACCTGCGAAGGTGAAAGGTGACTCGGGGAAACACGTTTTACTCTATCTTCATGTAATGCGTGTATATGTTTAAGGTTATCACAATAAGTTTCCTCACTCCACGATAACATATTGGTATCACAAAATATGAACATTAGCCACGGCTGCAGACTTTATTGCTCATTAAAAACAGATGGGATGCTCAGAGCTCCTCTTCTCACCTGAAGCTCAGGAGAAAAAGGCTTAAGAGAACCTGAATTAGCTGAAGCAGCAATTAAAACAGATGATTAATTATATTTATGAAAACATGTAGCGCCCATTTTCTTTAAAATAATATTGTTGTTGTTTTATCTTTTGTTAATGCTATCAGAATATTTTGTAGTTTTAAACAGCTAACAGACAGGGAAATGGTTTATTTTGAAAAAAAAAAAAAAAAAATGACAAGTATTTTTTTTTTTTGTAGAAAATCAAAATAGGTAAATTCATTTTATATTTTAAGACAAGCTAAAATAACCAGATTTGGGATGTCACTACTTCTTAAGCCTCAAAGCTATTAATATTATCCACATAAACAGTGACGCTGAATACAAAGTTAATTTGATTTGAATATTATACTCATACAATTTGATGTTATCTAATAAATTGTACATGACTGTAATTAGATTTGAACATGGATCTGTGCTGAACTGAATCGGGACTTATTTTTGTCGTGTTTATGTTGAAGCATTTACATTAATCAGTGATTTGTTGACTGATGATTTAATAGTTTGTTATTGATAGTTTGCACAGAATAAAAAGATCTGCTGAATGAGTAAATAAAGTCTAGCTTTAGTTTAGACTGAGAACTCCAGGTTGACCTAAAAACACAAAGAATAAAAAAAATAAAGCAGCTGGTTAGAGGACTCCAAAAACACATTTCAAGAGCATTCATGAGCAGAGACTTACAGAGACAATCAGTTGCGGAAAAATTCCTGACATACTTGAACTCACCACTGATTAAAAAGACGTCTGCGACTAAAAAAATTTAAAAAAACAAATCAGAAGTTTCGCCTCGGCGCTCATAAAGTGTAACCATCAGAAACAACGTGTTTATAACTGAGGGAGTGCTGACATGTCTTACCTCCCGAACCTTTTTTGTTTTTCCCGGCTGGTACCGACAGCTCAGTCCCTGGAGAGGACGTCTCTCTGCGGCCGGTGCACGCGAGCCTACCAACGGTCGTGCTGCACCATCTTCGTGTTTTCTCGGGCGGTTTGTGTCGCGAGCGAACTCCGTTTGACGCAAGTTTGCTGCTTCTTCTTCTTCTTCACCTTATCTTCTTCCCTCCCACTCAAATAAAGAGAGATAAAAAGAGAAAATCCACCTCCGCTCAAGTTGAACATGAGCCTTTTTCTTCGACTAGCATCTGGCCGCTACTCGGACAAACTTCCACCCGTTTCCGAAGAGTTCGGCGGCCAGCTCTGCCCGCTGCCTCCCCGGACTGCGGAGGGTCTTTTACGGTTGAAGATGTCTGTTGTGATGCGTTGCTCGACAGCTCTCTGTGAGGAAAAGCTTTTTGTTTCTGAAGCCGGAAGCTACGAGAAGACAGCCTCTTTCTCTCTCTACCTCCCTCTGACCGGCTCCTCTCGATGGAAGAAGACGGAAAAAAAAAAAAAAAAAAGAAATACCGAGCACGCGCAGCCTTTCAGGCGTGTTTAGGCACGTGCAGTGCGGGGAAGCCCTCGCGTGCATGCGCTCGAGCGCACGTTTACAACACACTAGTAGCAAATGAAATATTACTGCTGCTACCACAGCTGCAGCTGCTATTGTTGTGTTTGTTGTGCAGATTCAAAGTTCACTCCGAATATTTTTTTTTCTTTCTGTTTTTGTTTTTCTGTTCGTGTAGCATCTTACTTTTGTATCCTTGGAGCTTTCTTTATTTGTCATTCGCACCGAACGAAATTGTGTACACAGGGTCCCAGTTACATCCAACAATAAAATGTAAAAAAAAAAAAAAAACAATCTTAAGATATGAGCTAAGAAAATGTTAACTAAAAATGTGCTAAGCACTAATAGCATAAAAACAATAGTACACCAAACAGCAGCACGGACATGAGTCTGTGTGCGCAGATGAGTACGAATGAACACAGTAACATGAAACAGCAGCAACATGATGTGATTTTTCACAGTGATTATCCTGGTTAGAGGTTCATGAGTCCAACAGCCTCAGTCTAGCGATTCTACACTTAATTCCCCTTAACCTCCTGCCTGAGGGGAGCGGGGCAAAAAGTGTGTGTGCTTGGTGTGTGGGGTCCTTCATGATGCAGGTGGCCCTCTTCCTGCATCTGGAGGTGTAAATGTCTGCGATGGTGGGGAGACTGACTCCAACAGACTTCTGTGCAGCCTTCACCACTCTCTGCAAAGCTTTTCTTTCTGCAGCTGTGCAGCCTCCATGCCACACGTTGATGCTGGAGCACAGGATGCTCTCCACTGCACACCTTAGGAAGGAGGTGAGGACTGAGCTTCCCAGAACAGCTCATCTCCACCGCCTGAGGAAGTAGAGTCTCAAGGGCAGCAGTAGGGTTATTATTTTGAGTAAAGCAAAAATGTATAAAAACTTCTTACATCAGTAAATGAAAAAATGAACATAACACAAAACACTTTTTGTATCAAATCATCCATAGAAATGAAATAAAAACTAAACTGCATTAAAACTACAGGTCTTCACATAATCAAACAGTACAGATTCTTCTCTCTATGTAGTCATCAGACGCATTCATATTTGTGACGGTTAATTTTATTTTTGTTTTATGTTTTTTTTTTTTTTTTTTTGGTTGTTCAGATGATAATGCATGTTTTTAAAATTTCCTCAGTTATGTATTATCTGTCGTTGATTCCTCGTCAGCTCTTCAGTAATAAATCTGCCTTGATTTTCTTTGCTCGGGTGTTTTCTGCTCGTCTGTTTATTTAGTGTCCGTTTACGCGGCTGCCTCCTCTCATAATAAATCTTCGGCTGGTGTAGGACATTTGATAGCCTCAGTTTATGAATTCAATTTGAAGTCGTTTTTGGACTTTGTTATTTTCACGTGTAGTGTCCTCATTTGTTTGGCGCTTTATAAACTTAAAAAAAAATCTTTATTAAACTTTTATCTTTGTGCTTCCTGTATTTTAATCGTCTTTATGTCTGACTCTGTGAATATTGTTTAAAAGTTGCCTCAAACAAAAGGGTTAAAAACACTACACTTATAAATATTCATTATATGTTATTATTGCCTGCTGCTGAAGGTGAAAGGGCAATAATGGGTGTCCTCTTGTCTGTGGGCGTGCTTGTCTTTGTTTGTTTGTCCGTTAGCAAAATATCTCATGAACCACAAGACTGACTTTAATGAAACCTTGAGAAAATTGTCATTGGATGCACATCTACAAAGTGTTATTTTTTGGAAACAATCCAAGCTAGCTGCAACAGCCAAGGAATCATGAAACACACAAAAATGGCTACAGCACTATCAATTTTACAGATATTAAATTACAATTTGGTGTGGTAGTAGCTAAGCATCATTTACAACACATACTTCAGCACTCCACGTTGTCAAACATCTTTGCCTAAATCTTTGGCATCTGTTGATTTCAGCTGTTGGCTTGTTAGTAAAACATCTCCAGAACCACTGGATGGATTTTAATAAAACTCTTAACATAACCAGTAGATGCACATCAGAATCAGCTTTTATTGTCATTGCACAGAAGCACAATACAATTTCATTTCAGTACAGCCCATCCAAAGAAACAAAAAGACAACCAAACATCATAAGACATGGGTAGACGGGTGCCTGAGGCTGCAGCCATCATGGGAGGTGCTGCCCTTTTTGTTAGATAAGGAAAAGGGAAACACGAGGAAAGAAGAGGTTAAAAAAAAAATCATATCTCACACAGTGTATAACAAAGAAGCAATTTCACAGGACAAAGAGCAGAAGCAGGGCAGATAGGGGAAGGAGCGGGAGGAGAAAAATGTGTCCGCCTTCACTGAGAACTGGAAGGAAAAAAAACATCTACAACTGACTAACTTTTGAGGTCAACCGAAGTCAAGTCAGCCACAGCTAATCTACATTAGTCAACACAAAAATTGCCTATGATTTAGTTTTACAGTCAGGGAGCTAAAGTCATGTGTGATAGTAGCTGAGAGTCATCCTCAAAACTTACTCTGAGTGTTAACAGATCTGGTAAAAAAAAAAAAAATTCATGAGGATTGACCAAAAAGACAAAAACTCTCTTTTCTTGAGATGGTTTTAGTCTAAAACTCTAGCGTAAAAGATGGTGAGTGACATGTGTCCCTTAAATCATGGGCGTCCAAAGTGTGGCCATTTGTGGCCCGTGGAGTGATTTTGTGCAGCCCACAACTGCAATTTAAGAATTGTATAATTTTGGCCAGCAGGCTTAAGAGGTCGATGCAGACTTTCTGCAAGTTAGATGGTAATCCTTTTTTTATATAATGTTAGGTTTAACAGCTAAATGGATGAAAAACAATCTTCTCAAAATGAGCAATATTAAGCAAAATACAAACCTTTGGCTATAATCTTTTTATTTTCACTTCATGGTAAAAAGCACCAAAAACCTTTACTGATTTCTGCCAGGAAACTTTTGAATAATGATTCATAAAACGTGACTAAATATTGCAGTTGATAAAAAAATCAAGAGGGAAATTGGACTTTCTTTTAAATAATATAATGTGGTGTCATCTGCATACGAGTTGATCAACTTTATCAAATCTTCTATGAATCTGTTGTAGCTTACTCAATTTACACTTTTGTTATTGAGAACAGCCTAAAAAGGAGAAAACAACAAACATAGACCCAACAAATAAAATAAATCCAATCCTTTTTAATGAAAAAATATAAGCTTAGTGTTTATGAGGCTTTTAATGTTTTGGAACAACAGCAATTTAAAACTCTTTCCCCACCAAAATTAAACTTTTGTCTTTTCTCTACGTTGAGAGTTAAATTTATATTTTTGTGACCCGTGAGTCCTTTCATCTTAGTTTTGGCACGCATATGATCAAACGTTTGGACACCCCTGCCTTAAATGAATGATTTACCTTGAAAAGTCTTTGTGACATTTTTCTTTACACCTTTATAATTTGCTTTAGTTTCTTGTCATATTTTAATGTGAACTATAGAGAACAACTGTTTGATCAGTCATAACAATAAGAGATTTGCTTAAACCGAATCACACTTAATCTTTCATTCTGTAATGCATCCATGGTTGAATATATGTTTACTCCAGGTCTACCTGCCTGTAATGAGACCATGTGCTGAAAACTGATGATTTGAATATGGCCAGGGTAGTAAAATTTATTTGCCACCCACAGAGAGCAATAAATCAGCCTCGGGCCATTTCCCTGAAAAGAGTAAAAGTAAAAAGTGAGTCTTTTAAATATTTTTGCCCCAACACTGATACATGCAGAAACAAAGAGAGATACCAGAAAGTTTGAAGTTCTGTTGTCTCTGCAGTGACCACAATAAACAGCTCAGATTTAAACCTTTTTTTTTTTTTTTGTTTTTGGTTGTGTAGGACATTAACTATACCCCGTGGACTATGATGTTTGCATATGACATTGTGATCTGTGGTGAGAACAGGGAACAGGTGGAAGAGAATTTGGAGAGGTGGAGGTATGCATTTTAAAGAAGAGGAATGAAGCCATAGTAAGACAGAGTACGTGTGTGAATGAGAGGGAGGTCAGTGTAACAGTGCGGCTACAAGGAGCAGAGGTCACAAAGGTGCAGGACTTCAAGTACTTAGGGTCCACTGTCCAGGAAAATGGGGAGTGTGGTAAAGAGGTGAAGAAGAGACTCCAGGCAGGATGGAGTGAATAGAGAAAAGTTTCAGGAGTAATTTATGACAAGAAGGTGTCAGCAAAGGTCAAAGGAAAAGTTTACAAGACAGTGGTGACACCAGCTATATTATATGGTCTGGAGACAGTGGTAATGACAAAAAAGACAGGAGAAAGAACTGGAAGTGGCAGAAATGAAGATGTTGAGGTTCTCCTTAGGAGTGACAAGGATGGATAAGATTAGAAATGAGATCATCAGAGGTACAGCACTGGTTGAACAACTGGGAGATAAAGATAGAGAGGCCAGACTGAGATGGTTTGGACATGTCCAGAGGAGGGACAGTGGGTTTATTGATAAAAGATGTTAGAAATGCAGCTGCCAGGAAAAAGACAAAGAGAAGAAACATGGATGCAGTTAGAGAGGACATGGAGGTAGTTGGAGTGAGGACAGAGGATGCAGAGGACAGAGTGAGATGGAGGAGGATGAAAGCCGAAAGAAAAAGTAGGACATTAACTATAGATAAATTAATGATCAATGTGCACATTTAAATAGTGAAATGTTCTTCTTTGTGTATTTCTGCACGAGGGGAACCTCCCAAAAAGCTCAGATTAAGTTCTGTTTTATGAAAGTTGCAGCGACTGATCAGCTTGTTGCCTTGGTTACGTGGATATGAGACTCCTGCCCGTGTTTCAGTTTCAGACTGAGAAGTTTATTTGAAGTATGTGCGCAGTGAGAGACAACAGCAGGCTGTAGAAAAAGGTTTTACTTCAAAATAGCTTTTTGAAATACACTATTTGGTCCTTTTATTTGTACAGACAAT